CACGTGGGTCTAAGGGCTGACTTTCTCCTCCCCAGGCTGAAGGAGAGAGCAAGGGCGATAAGGCCAAAGTGAAGGATGAGGTGAGGAGGAGTTCAGGGGGGTTGCTTGGGCGCCACTTTGAAAGATGCGCTGCCGCGGGAGGCCGCAAGACGCGCTCGTCGGTTGTGGGGGGGAGCTTGTTTTGGGTCGGTTTTCTTTTTAACCAATAAATGGCTCTTTTCCATGATTTTAACTCGTTTGTGTGGCGTTTTTTTGTGTTTGTTTGTTTTTTTCTTTTTTTTTTTTCTTTTTACAGCCACAGAGGAGATCGGCGAGGTTATCCGCTGTGAGTATCTCATTCTCGGCGTGGAAGTTGCACGGAAAGTTTTTGCGTAGAAATAGCGGCGGGCTGCGCTGCGCTGCGCCTCGTCTGCCTGCATCGGGATGCGGGGCGGCTCGGGGAAACGCGCCCGGGGGTGTGGTGGTCAGCGCGGGGCGCTCGGGTGCTTCCCCAAAGTTATTTGGACTGTGGGAAAGCAAGGTGTGCTGGGGAAACGCAGAGGAACAAAATCTTCTGTCTTTTAGTTTTATCTTTTTTAAAAAAACAACCCAACTTGTTTGCTGTTCCTCACTTCTAGAAACCTGCTCCTCCGAAGCCAGAGGCTAAACCTAAAAAGGCAGCTCCAAAGGTAAATTAGCACCGTGAAAACGCAGCCTGTAGGTACGCTCAGGATATTTGTGATCTGTTTCATTTTGAGGCCTGGTCCAGGAGTAACAAGTGATTTTTGAGCTTCCAAGCAGTGGCTCGTTAAACCGTGGAGTGGCGACATTCCTGTCTGGTAGATTTAAGTTTTGCTGTCAAACTTTTGTAAGATCTGATCCAGTGCTTCGAGGAAAACTTGTTACGGCTGTAATAAACGCAGTCTTTGATTAAAAATTAAATGTGTGCGTGTATTACACTGGTGATGCTACTCAGCTCTTTTCCAGGGTTTTATTACATCCTTGTGTCCATTAATGGACCACTTGTAACTGTACAGCTGTACATTAACGATGCTTATAATTCTAGCAGTGCTAATATTGTCCCACCGTTTCTCAGAAGGGTGAGAAGGTACCCAAGGGGAAGAAGGGGAAAGCTGATGCTGGCAAGGAGGGAAACAACCCTGCAGAAAATGGAGATGCCAAAACAGACCAGGTATAAACACAGGTCTAAGAATTTTAGTTCTTCTAATAGAAAATGCTTGTGTAGGCCTGTTCTACATTTAAAAGAAACCATGTTACTTGATTAATTTAGGCTATTTACTAAATAAATAGCTTGAGAGTTCAGTCTGGGCTCTGTCCCTAGTCTCATCTTGGCAATTGGTGCAATTAGTTTTTGAAGTTGTTTCTTATTAACTGTATTGAATTGTTACTGATGCTATATGTGGCTTCATTTAATAATGAGTGGTATTAGTCTTATGGTAATTTTCAATCTTGCTTCTAAGACTACCCTTTACATGTGCATCTCACTTCCAAGTGCCATATTTTTAGATCTATGCCACTCCCTTCCCTCCCAAATAAGGCACATACTTTTTTGTTTTGGGAAAGGCAGGATGAAGAAAGGATTTTTCCAGAGTTGTAAGTTGCATAAAGCAGGGACACAGCCTAACCTCAAGTTGGTCGCCCTCTCTCCTGCTCAGGAAAAGGTTACAGTTTTAACCCTTTCACAGCTGAATTGTGAGCAGCTCTTGGCTGCTCAGCCAAAAGCTGAACCTAACAGCTGCTGAAGAATGGATTCCGTGGACAGATCTAAGGTTTTGAAAAAGCTAAGCAATCTGAAAGGCTGTGACATAGAGACCCCCAAAGTAGCCAATAAAGAGCCAAACTGCCAAGAAACAATCTAGTAGTGGAACATGAAGTTGATTGAAAAGGAGAGGGTGGTTAGCACTTGTGGAGTGAAGAGCCAGTAGTAGGAATCATGTTGATTATAATGTGCTATTAAGTCTCCAGTGCCCTGCCCCCCCTCCATCTGCCCCTCCCACCATGCAGCTGCTAGAGAGGAGAAGGGGGAAAATGAGCAGCCATCTTACAATGTCTCCATGCTTCTATTCTGAATAGAAAACAAGCTTCCCTACTTAAGACATGTACCCTCATTTTGAAATGCTAATTTTGGGGGGAGAGGTGTGTGTGTGTGTGGTACGTAAGCAAGTACAGTACATTATTTTGACATTGCTGCAGGAAAGCACAGCTTTAAAATCTCCTTAACTTTTGGACACTAGAATGTCTTCCTTCCAGAATCATGTGAAGTGAGTGGAAGTCTGTGTATTATTAACAGCTTCTCCTTTTTTCTTTCAGGCACAGAAAGCTGAAGGTGCCGGTGATGCCAAGTGAATTGTGTGAATTTTTGATAACTGTGTACTTCTGGTGACTGTACAGTTTGAAATACTATTTTTTATCAAGTTTTATAACAATGCAGAATTTTGTTTTACTTTTTTTTAAGCTATGTTGTTAGCACACAGAACGCTTTGTTGTTGTGTTTTGGGGGGGCAGTGGGAGCAAATGTCACTTAGTCCATTTCTCAGAACCTGTTTTTAAAAAGGAAAAAAAGACCCCTTGTTTTTTGGAGAGGGGCTCTTCCTGGACACGAGGAGGAAGGATTCCCTGATGTTGCCCATCTGTTTCGGTTTGTGAAATGTATTAGAGTGAACATTGAAACTCCTGACATGCCTGCTGCCAGCTTTAAAACTGCAGTTTGTAATGCCGTTTTCTCATTCCCTTTGTTTGCCTAGAGCTTATCACTCCTAACTGTGGCAAAAAGGGCATGTTTGGGTTTCATCCTAAAATCTAATGCATTATCATTGTTGGGCAATCTAGAATTCCGGTGTCAAAATTGGGAGGTCATAACTCCAAAGGGAGAGTTAGGCTTTCTCTTTTTATATTGTGGATCTTCAGATTAAGGATTCTGCGGTTCTAATTTTGTTTTCTTCTAAAAGTCAGGGTAGGCTCGTGAACAGTTGTTAAACAACATGCTAAATGTGAAAGTGTCCACCCTCACTCTAAACTTTCCCTGTTCAAATATGAAATGAAGATTTTTCATTTGGTTTTATAGTAACTCTTACGTTTTGGTAGTCCATGGAGGAGGGGAGTTTGAAAGTTGTTGTAAAATGTTGCAGATTGTAGCCCATGTCCTGCCTGAATTACCATGATTGTTTATGAAAAGTACCTTTAATAAAGCTGGATACGGTTTGGCTTGGACTGTTCTCAATGTATTCCTATTTTCATTGCTTCTGTATTACATTTGATGTGGCAGTATGCCTAAACGATGTACCTGCTGTGTGTATATGTGTATTTGCACAATCGTTAACAAAGTGCACGATGATATTTGTTCTGAATATATCTTTTATGTAAATGCATGAGCAAGTCTACATTCACAGAAAATGGATTTAATCACCTTTTTGGGTTCAAATAGAGACAGGTTTCTTCAAGTCGTATCAACTTCAGGTTGCATTCAGGGTTATTATGTGAAGCAGGTAGTTGTAGTGCGGGTTTCTTTTAGTCGCAGTTTGCTTCATGCTGCATTTTTGTGCCTATTGTCTAAACAAGTTAGCACTAACTAAGATAACAATATCAAAGTCTTAACTTTAATTTTTAACTTAGATTATGCAAAAAATGCTAAAACCTATAAATCTTTCAGTTTACAACAGGAAGAATGAAATGTTTTAACTTAAAAGCTAAATTTTCATGGTTCATCAGTATTAGTGGTGAACATAGAGCAGGCATGTTGAGTTCAGAAGTATCAATTTGTATGCGCTAGGGCAGTGGTTTTCAAACTTCTAAAGTCACGGATCCTTTTTGCATCACAGAACCCTTACTGCTGAGCTAAAGACTGAGGTGGATTCAGGCAATCTGGCCTGGCCAGGAGGTGTACCACCTCCCAGCCTGTTGCATTACCCCAGTCTCTGTGCAACCCCAATGACCAATTGCAGGCCCCAGGGCTCTGCAACACATACTTTGAAAACCACTGTTTGACGGGTGACCAAACTGAGTTTAAATCCAGAAGAAATAGCTAAAACTTTTTTCTCTGTTATTTATAATCTTTAATTTCCTTCAATTCTTGCTGCTTACTCTAAGAAGTCTTTAATCATAAATTATTACGTGAATGTGGGGGCTGGATGCAGATTATCATCTCTGGCTTGAATAGTTTGAAAATTGTCCTATAGTTTTTTGGCCTTGTCAGTATTTTGGATTGACTAGAAGGGCTGGGAAGTTTGTGTCCACCCCTTCGTCCTCTGCCTTCTGCTCTGTATATTTTTAGGCTTAGTACAGACAGTCAAAAAGACAGAGGCTGAATCCATCCCATCTTCGCAGGTTGAACTGATAAGTGGGGATCGGGGTGGGGTTCTGATTTTCAAAACCCCAATTTTCTGATTTAAAAAGTAACCCAAAATCCACATTTTTCTATGATTAAAGTGAAACACCACTAATAGATGGATATCTATCTATATATAGTGGTTGTTTCATTTTAATCATGGAAAAATGTGGATTTTGGTTTGTTTGGTTTTTTTTAATCCAAAAATAATCCCTGCTGATAAGCAAGGGAACCATGCATTCACTTTTTCATAGATTGTAGAGTTGGAAGGGACCACAAAGGGTCATTGTGTCGGCCCCCCTGCCGCTGGCAGGAAAGAACTGAGGTCAGATGACCCCAGCCGGGTGACTATCAAGCCTCCTCTTGAAGACCTCCAAATTAGGTGATAGCACCACCTCTCTTGGGAGCCCATTCCAGATCCTGGCCACTCTTACTGTGAAAAATGTCTTTCTAATGTCTAACCTAAATCTACTCTCCACTAGTTTGCACCCATTATTCCTAGTTACTCCCTGGGGTGCTTTGGTTCTAGAAATGCAGCCACATGCCTGCAGTGGCCCAGACTAGAAATCAGGGGCCACTAGAACATGCCTCCCTTGTCAGCTGGAGCAGGTGGGGAGTGGATTGCAGGGGAGGTGTCAAAGCATCCTGGAAGTCTGGGGGACAGAGTTGAATGAGAAGGGGATCCGGGACACAATAAACATTTAACCTGAATAAGTTAAGTCTGATACTATATCCATCCAGGTTTATCTTAAACTGGTTTCGGCCAATTTGAAAGGAATTTATGTGCATTGAACAACTGTTGTGTTACAGATTTGAACTGGTTTCCAATCACTTATACTGGTTTATGTGTAACTTCTGTTCCTAAGTAGAACACATAAAGGAGACCCTTAGATATGACATCTGCCTCAAGTCTTTTCAGTGGTCTTTTTAATGCTTACAACTGAGAGAAACATCTTAATAAGAAATGCTAATTGTTCAAGTGTTTTGTTCTGGATTTTGTTTTTAAGTTGACACTGAACCCCCAGCTAAAGTGTTTCAAGTCGGCTCCAGTCTAGTCTTACCTCCTAGTGTCCTGATCTATTTTCTAAGTCAATAAATGTTAGCAAAGCAAGGTAACTTCTTTGTAAACTATCCTCAAGAGCAGTGTGTTTGTATGCTGTAATTCTTTACACTTTTATTTAGGGGGGCACTGAGGCAGGAATATTCCATATAGGGAAGTACATCCACAGAAATTACTTTGCTTCAAAAAATCCAGACTATTCTACCTTAGATGTTTTTCATGGTAATATATATTCCTTTAAAGCAGAGGTGGGCAAAATGCAGCCTACAGGCCGCATGCAGCCTGCCAGGCCAATCTATCTGGCCCGTGGGGCCCCTAAAAAATTTAGAAAATTAACATTTATCTCCCCATTGCTGCCTGTCATGTGGCCTTCAATACCTTGCCAAAACTCAATAAGCAGCCCTCCACCCAAAATAATTCCCCGCCCTTGCTTTAAAGGGCACTGCACCTTGGTTACTTCTGGCATGTAGCACTGATAAAAATGATGTTCAGTGTTCTATTGGATGACACTTGGGCTAGAAAGTGCAAAAAACCATGTCTGTGCCACTTTACTGGTCATTTACCATGTGATCCAGATAGGGTCATGAAAGTCATGTCACATGCAAGCTATACTTGGTAAATGGTTGAGAAAAATGGATCTGCACTTCAGATAGATTTTGGGTAATTTTTATACTAACAGTTAGCCAAAAGTATTGCTTCCTCTGCTTCTTGAGATTTGTTTGTTTACCAATTGTAAGCAAAGAGGGTTTCATATTAGGAAATTAAATACTCTGAATTGGGTTCATATCCAACTTTGATTTAATTCTGTATATCTACTGTTCTTAGGTTGGTTTTACGCTGTCAGCTAGCCTTCCCGCTGTTGGAGCTATTGCAAATATTAACAGGTGTATTCAGTCAAAAGTGGCAGCCCAGAAAGGGCTCGAGTACAGTCAGATTACTTCCCCCAGTTGTGAACAAGTCAACTATAGAAACAGCTGCTATAAAGCATGGTGAACCAACCAGAAGGGAGCTAGAGGAGCAGATGCTAAAGGCTGCCCTAGAAAAGCTTTGGAGATAAAGGCTGGGAGAAATTTTGGAAAACTTCCAGAAAGTATAGACAGGTGGGGAATGGGAAGGAATGGTCGTCCTCAATTGCTTAACGTGGGATTGCTGGATTGAAACTTCAAAGGGAGGGTGGGATTTGGTTCTCTTCCTTTGCAGAAGGTAAAGTGGCATCAAAGGAGCCAAGAAATAGGGGAAGAGTCCCAAGATTGGGCATGTAGCCCTTTTGGCCTTGGATATAAAACTTCCTGTTACCTTGAGGGTTGTTGGTTGTAGCCATGCTAGTCTGAGGATGTAGGCAGACAAGGTTCTTTGGGCAAATGTATCTTTTATTAGACCAACTAAGCAGTTGGAAAAATTCTTTGCAAGATTTCCTTTTGGGCACAAACGCCCTTCTTCAGGCATAGGGAGAGAGTCAGCTGATGTGTGTGTTGGATTCTGTTCCACCCAGGACAGCGCGCGCACACCAGCAGACTCTCCCTATGCTTGAAGAAGGGCGTTGTGCCCAAAAGGAAAGCTTGTGAAGAAATTTTTCCAACTGTTTAGTTCAGGGATGGGCAAAATGTGGCCTGGGGGCTGGATGCGGCCTGCCAGGCCCCTAAAAAAATTAGAAAATTAAATATTAATCTGCCCTGGGCTGCCTTTCGTGTTGTCTTCAATGGCTTGCTGAAACTCAGTAAGCAGCCCTCTGCCCAAAATAATTGCTTGCCCCTGGTTTAGTTGGTCCGATAAAAGATACCACATTTGCCCAAAGGACCTTGTCTGCCTGTTACCTTGAATGTTTTTAAACCGTAAACTAGGCACATGACTGGTGATAAGACTGCTGCTCTGCCAGACCTGGCCATAAGGAGGTGCCACAGATACGACAAAATAGTGTGGGTGGGGGGTAATGTTAGACTACGTGGGAGTTCATCTTCCTCCCTGGAGCTGAGTATTTAGGCAAGATTTATCTCTTGACCAGCTTTTGTGTGGTAGAAATTGAAGCATGTATGGGAAGCTAACATGATTTAGGGGGCAAGTCTTTCATATTGTGTTGCTCAGACATTTTTTTTCTTCCAAGTTTGTCAGGTTAGAGCCAATCTATCCAAATATTTACAGAAAGATGTGTAGTTTGAATCTTTTAAGTTCGTTTTGGAAGTTTCCCTGATTCCAACTCTGGAAAATGAATGGCTTGGTTATCAAGTAATGGAAGGTTCATGGTGTGAGTTAAAATTGTAGAGGGTATCTTGCAATAGGAGCCTTAAAATCCATGCATCTTCATCTTACTAAGGCAGGAGCTTTCTTTTTAATGAATGATATTAAGAGTGATCTCTGAAGGTGGAGCTGACTTCTGCTTAACAGTGCCTACTTAGATGTTTTTAAAAAATAATAGCATTACAACTGCTTGATTTTTAATTTTTTAACTGAGCTAAAATGTGAGTGGCCTCCCCTTGTCTGTTGCAAAACTGCTGATCAAAGTCCCTGCAAAATATGAAGGAAAAAATCCTAATTCCCTGCCCTCCACCGCACTTTGTATTGGCTCTATCTCCTTAAAAGCACCAGTGCATCCTTTCAGTGCTCTGTATAGGGATGTGTTATATAGATAAAAATCTTAAATTTAAGAAGTAGAAGGAAGTCTAGGGAAAAATCAGTACGCTGCCCACATACACCACATCTTTAGACTGTGATAAATCTACTTCTGCCTTGTGCATCTGTCAGGTGGATTTTGCACTTGCGTAGCACCTGGTGTTTAGGATTTCCGCCGTTGCACCTGAATTCAGTAGGCGGTTGGGCTTTTGCTGTGGTAGTCTGGAACATACGGAATTGGTTCCCATCTGGAATCCAGCATTTAATCTCTTCCTACATTTATAAAACATCTGAGGTCTTGTTTTGTGGGTCGTCCCCTCCTCCCCCCCCGAGATGCTTCTAAGTTGCTCACCGTTTCATTGGGGGTCTTTTAAAATTTTATTTTGACCTATCCTCTTGTAATTTAGGGTCTAGTTTTTTTTAGGGTGCTTTTTAGTGAATGAGAAATGGTCTTCTATTTTTTTTTAGCCTCCATGCTTTTACTAAAGTGGCATACTTTATAAATTATTAACTATTTTCCGAAAATATATTGGGAGATAACTTTTAAAATACCCCTTGCCTACTCAAGAATCCTGAAGCACTTAATACATGGAGAAATCCTTTAGCTACCTTTGCCTGCTGTAAACGGTCACGCTCTACTCAGAGCTGGCTGCAGGTCAACGTGGAAGACTTTTGAATGGAGAATGTGGGGGACATTTAAGCAGAATGCACCAGCTCTACTCTGAATTTTGTCGGGCTCTGCCCTGACTGAAGTTGATCTCACAATATTCCACAGGCTGTTTAATCAGCAGCTCTGCATCTTGCACTGAAGAAGGAAAAGACAGGCAATGCTCATCACAATCCCTCTTAAAAATAATTACGTTACTGCAGGGACCACCTACATTTCAAAGAAACAAAGAGCTACTGTGCGCAAAATATGGAATGACATTTTTAAAGGGACAGCATTCCCCAAAGTTTCAGTCAGCTTGTGTCCCAACACAAACGAGTATTCTAGACTGCTTCAGAATGTAGGCTTCGGGCAACAGTCGCTTCCCTCAAAATACGCCACAGGTAGTTTTCCTACCTGCAGCGACCACAGAATTGGCAGAAAGGTCAAGGACTAAAGATGGAATTACACTTTGGTCTGAATCTTAGAATCATAGAAAATGAGGTTGGGAAGGGACCTCAGGAGGTCACATCTAGTCCAACCCCCTGCTCAAAGTGGGACCAGTCCCAACAAGATCATCCCAACCAAAGCTTTGTCCTGCCGGGTTTTGAAAACCCCCAAGAATGGAGCTTTTACCCCCTCTCTGGGTAACCTCCTGCCAGTGTTAGGTTGCATAATTGTCACTTGTATTTTATGTGCAGAGGACCTTGGTCTTTTCTATTTACCTGTGTTGGTCCCAAAAGCAAATAATTATGGAAACAGTGCAATGTTGTTTTATATATTTAAGTGATTAAGACTGGTGATATAGCAAGTCGTGCTATATTCAAGTTCTCTTACTAGTAGCATCTACTGTCTGAGGCTATCGCAGGCTTTCTGAGGCTCTTCCTGAACACAAGGCTTTACTAAGATCCCAGGAATCTCTGATCGTGTGCTGCTTTTGAGCTTTGCAGATGTATTTGATTCCAGAGCTTTAAATCGGGCTTCTCTCTTTTCCCTGTAGGTATTGGGCATGCATGGATGTTTGCAGAATCGGAGCCAGGCCATGAGCTTCCAATATACTCTCATTTTGACTTCGAAATCAAGGCTCTTTGTCCTCGGTTCTTGAGGATTTTCTTATTAATTACCATTTGCATGTTTTGAAAGTGAACTCTACAGGTCAGGTCTTTTTTTTCCCCCCATGATAGTTTTTTTTCTGAGGGGATATGAGAGACTTTGCAACATGATTATTTCTCGCTAATGTTCTCCATCTTCATTTCATCAGTCTCTTTCATTAAGAAAAAACATCCTTTCTTAAGAAAAATATGATATTGTCCTTTGAACTTAAAAACGCTGCTTCTACTTGCCACTTATCAGTACCACTGGGGTCTTCGACTGTCTTACACAGGCCAAGGCAGCCACATCTGAGAGTCAGTAAGCCAGGACTGGAAAAAGAGGCAAGAGTAGGCCACACACTTTTCAGACTGGGCCTTGAGGGAGGGCTTGTGTTTGAGTCGTCATGAAGTTATGGAACTGTATTGCTATATTGGTTTTCTGCCTTTAATCTGACCATCTCCTCTTGCATTCAAAGTAGAACTGTCGCCCCCTTATTCACCATCGTGCTCATCCACAGAGCTGGCTCAGTGCTTTGAGTCTGAGCCTGGTCTCCCGCTACCTGATTTTGTGTGAAGGGCAGCTAAAAATGGCTGAGATCTCACAGTCCTCCCATGACAGACCCTGAATTGTTCTAGCCTCTATAATAATTTGGTTTGTGCTCAAGTCCCAAGAGCAGTTGAGCCACCGAGGCTACAGCAGCACCATTTCTTAGTTCTCTGAGCAGTGTATCAGGACGTACCTAAAACCTGAATAATTAAACCTAGCGTGAATCATTCTTCCAAGGGACCTCTGTGTCATCAAAATTCGTAAGGTGTTGAAAGCAGGAAAGGTCCTTAATTCAAAGTGTTGGATCTCAAGGCAATTGAATGACACAGAGCTTGTTTGGTGCATCCCACCATTTTATTAGTAAGTTGCAGGTCAACCCAGTGAAAGATGGGAAAGACGTAAAGCAGCACTAAGGACAGATGTAAAAAAAAGAACAAGGGAGAAACGAACATTAAAATTCAGTGCAGTTGCATGGCGAATATTGAAAGGTAGGACCATTTGTACTGGAAAGAGTATCAAACTATGACAGAGGGATTTCATTATCCCTGTATCATTCCAGATAGTGGTATCATGCTTAGATGCCAATATCTCCAAACACGGTTGCAGAGTATAGATACACTGACAAAGATTAGCAAATTGAGAATTAAAGCTCTCTTCTTAAGTAGACAATTTATGACTGGTATCTATTTTCAGTGCAGGGATTGTAAGGAAGGGGAGAGTTGAAACAAGTTCAGCTGGGGCTACTTAGAAAATTAAATAGGATATGAAGAGCTTTGTATAACAAGAAGTTTGGAAAATCTCTTAAACCAAGAAATAGGGTGGGAAGATAGTTTGGGTCTTTTAATTCTGAGGGATTTTCTTGTACAAGGAAGTGTTTAAAATGCTAAAAAGGGGTATAATGAGCAATCACATATTGAAATTAAGAAGAGTAGAATAAAAAATCACTGGTGGTGGATACAGCGCCATTTAAATAGGTCCCTAAAGGAGAACTGCCAAATAAACCGTTGCTTTAAATGCTTAAGAATAGGGTGAAGAAAGATCTAGGAAAACCTGCCATAAGGAGCAACTGCAGAGTAGCTGGCGATGACCTTTGATGTATTGTAATAAGTATTTTCTTATCCTAACTTCTACTGACCTAGGGTACCTGAAGCTGCTGGACTAGCTTTTCAAAATTACATTTTAAAATGTGCTTACCTTTCTAAATAGTTTTTACAGTATAATGGCAGTGTTTGCTATTGTTTACTTTCAGATTTCTAATCAAGATTTTCTCTGGTGCCACAGAAGTCCTAAGATCTGGATTCTTCTCATTGTTTTCATTGGGCAAATATTAGCTTGTCTAGGGAGGCTATAGCACAATAGTCACAAGGGGGCAAGGCCGGGGTTACTACTTTAGCTTTCTGGAAATGGGACTAGCAAGGCGCGTCCAGTGACTCGCTGCTCATGGCTGGGGGCCAGTTCAGTGCAGATCCCTGTGGTGGCCCAGGACATCTGGAAGTTCATCTGCCACTGCTTGTCATCCCAGGTGGCCAGGACAGTGAGTACTCACCAGTTCCCGCTCATTTCTGGTCTAGAAGGGCCAATACACAGTTTGGAGTTGCTCCCACAGCAGGTCAGCCTGCGATGTGCTATATGGCCTCAGGCTTCTCAGACATTAAGGTGCTTTGGGAGAAGAAAATGGGGAAGGTTGTTGAGGCACCTTGCCATGGCCCTGGCCATGGGAATCTCTAGAGACTAGGCCACTGCAAAGCATGCTGCAACATGCGCTCTTTCTGACCATCCAGTAATGCTCAACAGCCACACATCTGTCCACATCTGGAAGCACTGCAGTTTGTGATGGCTTCAAACCCCATGACAATTTGTCCCACTCCAAATATTACACCAACGTAATTAGCTCTGTCATCTGTAATCTCCACAAAAGAAGCCAACGGTTGAATGGGTCTTTGGGACTGAATGAAACTTCCTCGCTTCGGAAGTGCAGGCATCCTTGGAAGTCAGATCTGAGAGGCGTTTTCAGGGAAATGTTATATCTGGCAATCTCATTTTATTGACACAGTTTTGTGTAGTCAGGGTTATACTGGGTAGTAGTACTGCTCTGCTGATTGGGAGCTGTTTTTATTCCAAGCTTATTCCCCATTTCACCACACGATGGTGCCAGCAAACGTAGAATCACTGCTTGGAGCCATTATAGATCCCAATCTGCACTTGTGCAGAATCCAAACCATTTTTATAACCAGCTAATGTGTGCTGGTTTTTGTTCTTTATTTTTTTTAGGAGGAAGAAAATGGAGTTCCCTTGGCTACTCCCATACTCTTCACTGGGCTGAGTCTGAGAAGAGCAAAACCAGATAAAGGACGACCATGCAACAATGTGAATCTCCATTATGAAACAGATGGTCTGTCGACCTAAGGTACTTAGATTGCCGTATTATCTGAGCATCACACCATGGTTAATGTGTTTACCTTGCAACATGCAAATAAGATGGGAAGTGGTGTTAATGTGTGTTTTAAAGACTCTCCTAACATCATACCGGAAGTCTATGATAGAGCAAGTATTTGACCCCAGCTTTCCCTAAGGGAGTTAGCATAGCATCCCAACCAACCCTCTTCTCCAGGATTTACTACAGCTACTCTCCTGGCACACCCAGATGAGCGGGAACATGCGTTTCCCCAGGGACAAGTAGCAACAGCACACCTTGGGAAGCACCCATGCTACACGCTATGGTGTGCAGCAGGTTCCCAGGTGGAGCAGGGGAGGCTGGGGCCAGCAACTGTGCTGGCCCCAGCAGCCTGTCCTGGGGGCCTCAGAGAGCTGCAGCCATAGCACTCCTGCGGCAGGAAGCCTGGCTGGCAGCTAGACCATGGCTTCAGCCAGCCAGGGTCCAGTTTGGGGTGGTACACACTGCTGCCACGTGCGCTTCCCTGCTTTTTTTTGTTTTGGTTTTTATTGACCCCAGGATCTCCCAGGATCAAAAAAAAACCCTGCACTGCAAGATGGCAGGGCTGGGGACACCTGCATGTGCAGTGTGTGGCACCACACATCTGTGCTCATCTGGACGTACCCTCAGAGTTCAGACTTGGAACTCCTGCTATTCTAATCATGTGTCTTCAATTAGTAGGGAATCCTTTACTTCACATCTAGGCCATTCCAAATATCTCTTTTTGAGATATCTGTGTCACTTTCATGCCAGCTTTTTTTACAAAATAAATGCATTACAGCATGTAGGATTTTGAGTTCATAAGGCTTACTGATATCTAACCGAAGCAAATTTTGCTTAGACCTAACTCTATTCCAGTGATGCAGTTGCTCCAGTAAAAGATATCACCATAAGAAGTTCTTACCTCTCGCTTCATTCCTGGACTATCATGGCTATCTCTCTCTAGCGCTACCACTAACAAATGTAGACAGCCAGTATGAGTGTCGAGAAAGAAGCTTCTCTCTAGTTTCCTCTCAATTTTACTTAAATCTCAAGTTTGGCTTAATGTATAAAGTGCTTGTGCATAACTGATGTTTCTTGAGGACTGTACAACAAATAAAACCTTAATTTATTTTAAATATTGCACAGTTTTAAAGGAGACCTGCAAAGGACACCTGGCAAACTTAGGGAACTGGTATTGGAACAGAGGGACTTTTGCCTCTCAAGCACAAGTTTAAGTTCCAGTCTTGAACAGGGATGGTAGTTGTTGCCATCTGATGGAATTAATTTGATAAACTTCAGCCCAAGATCCAGTAAAAGGGCACCTACCCATTTCAGACCTCTCTGGCTGTTAGCATTAACTGTTCCCCCTTGACATGTTTGCAAAAAGGATGAGGATTGAAAGGGTAATGGAACATTAACTCACCGGCAGGTGGGATTGTCTCCAGGTCAGGGTGGAGCCTGATCAGTGATCAGCAGCACCTCCCTGAGGCAAACCAGGACAAAACTATTTGTCTTGTACCTACTGATGAAAGGGATGGCGTCAATCCCCAGAGCTGTCAAAACAACAACTTTTACCAGCACTACATTCATGTGTATTTTCTTGTAAAGTCTATCAAATCAACATGCAGGGGAAATGTGTATTACATTGAATTAACCTAACCAATTTGCCCTTCAAACTCTGCTTCCTGAAGTACCTGACTCATGGGGTTATCTCACTGTGATACATACCTTCCTTTGTTGTTTACTGTTTCTAAGCAGCAGTGTACACAACTTAATAAGGTACAAAAGGAAGTGACTGCTTTCAAGAATCAGAGAGATTTTAATGAGACAATTGTGACTTAATCAAACTTCCTCAAAAGAAATACACAACAATGACATGGGCTCTGGATAGACGCAGCTTGCCACTCCCTTTCTACAATTCTCAGCACTTGATTGGTGCAGACATAAGCGGTTTCTAGGCAGGAGGAAAATGATTTTGTAGAGGAAAAAGGAAAACTAAAAATGTGCAGGCTAGCAAAAAACAAGCTCATAGAGTCCCAGGTACTTTGCTATTGAACCCGTGACACAAAGGCATGTTAGACCAAAACCATCCTCAGATGTGAACCACGTACATGCCTCTTACTGAAAAATACTCAAAAAAAATGTAGATTCACTGAAGTGGGTGCCTTGCCATTTGCTGTTATATCACAAATAGCTAGCCTGTGAATATTCACCGTTAACAGGCTGGCGTCAGGTTCTTTTGCATGGGAAAGCTTTGCGGGTTTAAGTGTCAGTTAAATTCATGAATGTTCCAGGAATAGAAATAGCCCCAAAAGGAGCAAATGTTATGCTGGTGGACGTTCTGTATTTTTAATGCATGCAAAATAGTTGTGCAGGCTGGGTCAAAAATACGTGTCCATACAGAGCCGCAAAATATTGCTGCGCTCTGTAACTGCGTGTGATATCGATAGGATCCTAGAGTCAGCCTGGCTGATCATTCTAGATGGGTGAAAGTGTATAACCTGCGCCCCCACCCACCCAGCCCTGCAGGATTATAATTTATACAGTGCCCAACTTGGGTATAACTGGATCATAAAGGTGAAATGCCCCAGTGCCATTCAGCTCCTTATCACATGATGTTATTCAGCACAAGGTTTACGCACCCACAGCCTGTGTGCACCAGAGCAGGAAGAAGAATGATTTATTCTCTAAGGCACTGGATTCCTGCCCAGGTATGGAGCAACTGCAGCCTGGGTATGGAACAGATAGTTCAGAGATTTGGCTTCTTTGCCCTTGGCTTCTGCGCAATTGCACCCAACTGCTATGTGCTCTACACCCTTCAGCAACCCTCACATAGTTTGGCCTAAATCAGTGGTTCTCAAACTTTTTTTTTTTTTTTTTTTGCGCGGACCACTTGAAAATTGCTGAGCGTCTCGGCAGACAACTTAATACACTTTTTTTTTGTTCTATAAATCAAAGCACACAACTCATATTTTAATATCAGTAGCCTTACCTTACAAGTACGGGTATTATCGATTGCTCTGCAACCTTTCTGCGGACCACCTGAATGGGGCTCGCGGACCAGTGGTGGTCTGCGGACCACAGTTTGAGAACCTCTAGCCTAGAGAAGTTTGTCTTGAAGGTCTCCCTCTATTCATCATACCCAGGGGTATGCTTTACAATGCAGTTACTACAACACTCTGGCTCTGTTGCAGCTCTCCTGTATTGGAGATAGCATTCACACCCTACACAGAGAGGCCATTCAGAGGCTGCAAATGCTCAACAGTAAGAACTACAGGCCTGGGACCAGAATGGAGCACATACTCCAGCTTCCAAAGCATCTCAAACTGGATTATTATAGTGACTGGGGTTCACCTGCTTTTGCTCTCTTTTATGCAGGTATTTTCCAAGTGAATATTTAAGGACCTAGTATTTTTTCCAGTCTCATGTACATGGCAGTGTCCCAGCCTGTCCTTTTCATTACCCATTCATGTCTTTGCTGTGACTGCTACTGAGAGATTGGTTAGTGTTATAATTGGCAGCAGTGGTAATGGTGGCTTTGTAAAGGCAATACTTAGCCTATACAAACTGAAACCCACCCCTTCATTTCACAGGGGTCATTTTCAATGGTTCTTATAGCTATCTGAAGGATTTTTACCATACTGCAGAATCCTAACTGATTGAGTAAAGACTCTTGAGTTAAATGACATCTGATACTCAACATTATGTATTATGTTTCCAACACACAGGCCTCATTTCCACTGTCTTACACTACGGTGTTGCTGCAGGACATTTATCTTGACTGTTACGTTTGTGGATTGTCAAGATGAAAGGGGGAAAATGATTCCATGCAGACTTTGAAATAAGTGAGTAAATAATATTGTGGCTTTGGCCCGAGACCTTTGAGAACCAGAGTGTGGGCAAATGTCTCACTAAGCTGCCATAGAAGAGAGTCTTCATTTTCCTACCTTGTGAGCTGTGCTTAAGGCTCATTCCTTTTTCTTATTGAAGTCAATGATAAAACTCATGTTGACTTTCATGAATGTAGGTTTTATAGAACATTTGCTGCCTCTGGCTAAGCTTTTCTTTATATAAAGGAGTGTATATTATGTGGCAATATAAAGTAAGTCCAATAAAGCTTTTATCTAATCCACCAGGTGCCAGAACATGTGTCCCCAAATTCATGTTTTGCAGATTGCCCTAAGACAAATGGTAAATGCACACTATAGGCTGAGGACAAGACTGGGAATTTGGAAGATACTGGTTTTACTCTGCAGTTTGCCACTGCCTGCCTGCAAGCTCTTTCCTTTGGCCAAATCCTTTCAGGTTTGTGCCATTTATAAAATGGGGACAGTGATATCACCCTTATGAAGCACTTTGAGATCCTTAAATGAAAGGTGCTAAAGAAATGCAATATATTATTCATTAAAAAACACACATGCACACCCCCAATTGTTTTGTTGTTTGTATCTCTTTTTTTGAGAGGTGGTGTGTTTACTTTATGAACTTCTGAATATGAGGTGCAGGGCAGATTTTTATAAGATGAAAAATATATAGTAGAAATTACCTGTTGGACAAATACACTATCAGTAAAACCCCACTAATAGATCTATGTTGTACTTCCCTTCTGGTAACACGGGGATAAGGAATGGAGGCCCAAATGTGAAGGCAAGCTAGCAGAGGAGGGTAAATGAGCTTGTGCCCTTTTTAACTTAAGGTAGGGAAAAGAAGCCTACATTTTTGTACACGTACGTGTACACACACACACACCCACCCACCCACCCATATCTGTTTGCTTCCTATCTTTGAAATTCAAGTCTTCTCTACCCTGGGATATTATATAGTGCCTGTAAAAATAGTAGAATGATATTACAATGAGCAAGAGAGAAGGTAGAACAGAGAGAGTAATTTTAGTCAAACCTTGGGCTGGTTTTGTTGACACTTCTTTAACTTTGCTTTCTACCAGACGTTTTTGAGCTAGGACTTTTTCACTAAAGATTCAACAGTTCCACTTATTTGGTGGATGTATAAGAGCTCAGGGTAAATACTTCTGTGAAATGCAGCCAGCAGATCTTCTATCAGACTTGGGGAAGGCTGGGCTGCATAGTCCTTAGATTTCTAATATAAAGAAACAAGGGGAGAGGGCATGAATCAAGCTATTTTGGGATGAGAAAGGGGACTGTTGGAGACTGTCCACACATCCCTTCCTTTATTCATCAGAAAGAAGATGGCAAAAGACGCATTAAAAAGCAAAATCCTGTTTTAATTTCAGCAAACTTTTTGATCCAATCCCTTTGGGAAAAGCAGCAGCAAAATACAAGCGTTGTGTTTTTTGCAGCCACTTTCTCAGTCTGGTGACAGACATGCCTTTGAACCTCAGCAGTGCCAGACAGGAGTCTCACAAGCTCAGCTGTCTTGTTTTGGAAGTAGTGAGGGACTTAGTCACCTGTGATTCTTTCGCCAGGTCAGTATATTTCCAGTGTCTTTATACCTGTTTTTGTATCTTGCTCTTTACGTAAGAAAAAAAACCCCACTGTGAAGTGCCACAGTGCACAGTTTGGTCCTAGATACGGTATTTACCGATACTGCCTTTACTTGAGCAGTTCAAGCAGAGATGCACATATGCTGTCTCTGAATCGTTTTGGGCAGCTTCTAAAACATTGAACACAGTGAGTGTCTCTGGAGGTCTCAGAACTATTTAAGTGGCACTACCCTATTCCTATGTCTGTCTTTTAGGGAAGGGAGGCAATATGAGCAGAGGGGAAGGACAAGAGGCCGCTCTTGCCAAAACTATTCTCAGTCAGGATCACTACTGGGACTCTGAGAGTGTGATCACTTAGAAAGTGACTAGTAATAACTGAGGGTAGAATCACAGCTCTGTCAATCAGGGAATAAGGTCATTTGCTCTATGATCTCATTTGCTGCCCAGGATAAGTGGGCAGCATCCACTCCATTTACTTTGTCATGTAGCTTTCCACTGCAGGTTGAGTTGAGCCAGTCTTTATTGTACTGCAATGCTAAAAGCAAGGAGGCAAAAAGAAAAAGGAAGTATAAATCATGTGAATGTGCCAGTGCAGGGAAAAGGCTGAGAGTCAGGTGGAAGATGTGCTAAGGGTGAGGATTTCCTACAAGTTGTGCTAGTTTATTGGGTTTGAATTGTTTATAAGTTAGAACAAAGATCTTACTATCAGGATTTCTAAGTTTAATGCTCAGCTCTGAAACTGTTTCACTAATGATTTTGAAAAAAAAAAGATACAACTTTTCTGTGCTTGTTTTCCTATATGCAAAATGAGGTTATTTGGAATGGATATCTGTGTGTGTACACACCTGTGCCCTCTACCCAGTGGGACAAGGACTGCTCAGCTGTGTGTTATAGGCCCTGTGCTGCTAATGGCTGGTTTGAGGTTTTTCTTTAGCTCGGGCTGTGTTTCTGCTGATGTGCGTTTTTATTTTCTATCACCAGATCCCCCTGCCCTTTCTGGCAGAAATGCCCTGCTGAGACCCATGTGTTTATTCTGTATGGCTGTGTGAATCTGGCTGTCTACACTTAAAGCAAATAAAATCTCTCACCCAGTACCAAGTTATTAAAGCTGCAAGAAGATTACACATGGAACATACTTTTCATGATTTGAACAGTTTATCTTCTGCCCAGTCTGGGGACAATGAAAGCAGGCCGTTCAGTTTCACTTTTCTTCATTGCTACTCATAATGTTTCCTTCTCTGTCCTCGCTCGCTGGCATCATCTTGCAGGGAAATGTATGATGAACACATTTCTGTGTTAATAATTCAACAAAATTTGCCAGGCTCGTTGAATAAATTCTATGCCCTGAATAACTGACCCAGATACAAGATCTGTGCTGTAAATACCATAGGAGAATGCTGACTGTAAAACAATAAAACCCAGGCCATTTCCATGGGCATTGGCCCCCCGGTTCTATAAAAGCTTCACCTCTGTAAAACCCTGGGCCCTTGTCCACATAACGAGGCCACACTTGATCCAGCTTTTTCCCTTTGAAGAAGAGGCACTGCAGTCAGCTAGGACCTGAAAAAAGCTTTGGACAACTTTTATTAGTTGATAGGGCTAGCCTGAACTTTCCAGTGAGCAGTGAAGTACACAGAACTACAAGTGTGTGCAGTCAGCAGGCATCCAGGTGAATCCACAGTGATTTATCATGGATCCAAAAGGCTGAATGAGAGGCAAAAAAGCTGATTAAACTATGAAAACTGTCTCTGAAGTCCTCTGAAGCATCCAAGGGTAATGGTAGCACTGAAACGCAATTGGTCAGAGCATTGTCAGGCTCACATAGCTGAAATACCAAAGCAGCAAGTCATCTTCCACTCTTTGCTCAGGCAGTGCTCAGGAGAGATGTCCAGGCTCTGGATAGATTTGTTTCTCTTTGAGTTTGGATAGCCAGGATTCTGCTCTGAATGGAAATAAGACCAAACCACTCCTCATTTCGTTGCATCCAGGAAATGGAAGGTAACCGATATCGGGGGAACCTGATGGAGAGATTGTATCCATGACAACCAGCAGATATGGCCTTGGTGTCCAGGCAGCTCATGCCTGATTGGTTTCCTTGTAGGTCCCTTTCCATGGGGCACCTACTGCCTCCAGCCTGGGGTTCTGCTCACACAGATGGAAAATTCCCAAATGACAAGAGGCTCTGAGTGGGAACAGTTTAATTAACATATGTTCTGTTAGCAAAACCCTCCTCCTCCTTGGGCTGCATGTGTCCAAGCAAACAAACAAAGCCCCTGGTCTGTGAGCAGGATGCCTAGATGCTATGGTGATACCAGTAATAACAATGACGTACAAGCAGGGGATTGAGTGTGCTCAGTGCTTTGTTTGCACATGCAGAAAGAACTGGCAGAAGGTGCAGGGATCTGCTCAGTTGATTGGCCCTCTACAAACCAAATGCCCTCTTCTAAGGGAATGAGAGCACAGCGGCCTGGCTTGTGTTCCCCACGATGCTCTGCATCTCTTCATCTGCGGTGATGTATTTTCCGCATTCCAGGGACTGCCTGGACCTGCCTCTGAAGGCACGGGCATCTCAGGCAGCTGCAACTGCACGCAGCAGGGAGAATGACGGAAAGAAGTTGGTCACAAAAGGAAAAAGCAATCGGCCGTTAAACACGCAGCCAAAGTTTCTCATTTACAGAGCTCCTGTTTTATGTCTCAGATGTGACGCCTGCACCACCACACAAAGGAAAAACGTCTCTCGGAACAAAACGAGGTGACAGATCATCCCACCATGGTGGAAAACAAAAAGCAGAGCACGTCAGAAACTGTGGTTTCAGGTTAGGATAAGGGTCTGAGGACAGGACCCCAGCTCTGCTGCTGATTTGTAGGCAACCGTCTGGATCGTGGTGTATGCATAAGAGACCTAGTTACCAAAACCTTCAGTCCAAATACCTCATGGTATTTTATAGGAGCTACCCCACTGTGAGTAGCCCCACCATGTTGTCACCAGGCCCTAAAGTCAGGTGCAGCTTATGGTCCTTCCCCAGGACCTCTGATTTAATGCATGATTTATGCCTCAGTTTTCCCAACTACAATCAAGAGGATAGCAGTGCATTAGGAGACTAATTGATTAGTGCATTTTAATAATCACAATTCATAAGGAGTACCAGAAGCTATAATTAAATGAATGTCCAAATGTATGAATAATCCTGACTGTGCTGTGTTAGCAACAGCCTAAGTATGAAGACTCATCCTCCAGATTCACGTGTAATCCCATGACACTGACATGAATAAATGCTTTCTGGATCTGACCCGCAGTGCAGAAGAGTGCATAGATGATGCCATCTTCAGTCTGTCCTCACATGAACACAGCACACACTGAGTCACATTCCCTGTCCTCTTCTTTCTGTACCAGGCAGCATGGTTTTTTATCTGCCTGTAGCACTGTATGATTGTGTTGTAGGCTGAGAACTGCATGGAAACGTGTGTCTTCCTGAGGCTCACAGGGGAAGGGGCAGCTTGTAGTGAGCTTTGTAACTGCACAAGCAGTGAATATGAAGGTCCAGTGCTTTGGTGGGGTCAGCAATTGGAACAGGGACCAGCCTCACATCTTTCTCTTTGACAGTTGTTTTTTAGTGGCAGTGGTTTTAGTTGGTGCGATTGTCTCACGTGTTCCAACTTCCCGAAAGAGAAAACATTGTAAACCAGAAACCAGCCAGCCAGCCAGCCAGCCAGTTGCAAATGTTGCAAATAAGGCAGATTTGAATATTTAAACTGGAGAAAACAAACAGCAGTGCAGCACTTTGATTGTTCTGTGAAGGTAATACTGACAGAAGGAGCTACTTCACCCTGAAGACCTTCCTTTAGCCATAGTAATAACAAGTAATAACATAACCGAGAACAGCAGGCCTCAGCATTTACCTGAGGAAAATGTTTGGGGAAGGGAAAGATTGTTGAGTAATTGTTTAACCTTTTCCCTCTTAAGTGCTAGGTAAAGAGCTACTTGTTATAGTATCTTTGTAGGCAGGAAATATGCAAGGGACCACTTCCTCAATTGAGCTACAAAGAGCACTTTCAATTAATGTTGCCTGGGCTTGCCAGGCAACCAAATAGCATCGTGGTACATAATGCCAACCTCAGTTTTGCCTGCTGGTTACAGCTGTAGATGGGGATTCAAAGACTATGGGTTTCCATGACCAGCTCTCCCACAGAGTTATGTAGCCTTTTTGTGCCTCATCTGTAACTTTGGGGATAATATATAGCTGCCTTTTCAAAGCTCTTTGAGTCTGTAGGTCAAAGGACCTCCCTAAATACAGAGTGCTATCATGTAGGCAGCCTTTCTTGAGTCCAAAAAAAAAAAGAAAAGAAAATTAATTTACTGTTATTGTGAACTGGGACCTGTGTGCTTTAATATTTCTGTTCAGGCACTATGGCACCCCTGGGTGCAGCACTTTCTGTTCCCTTTACTTTAGGAAATCATCATTCCTGTAAAGCTCTGTAATTTCTGCCTTTATCAAGCCCACGGTCAGCTTGCCAATCTTTATGCTGCAGAACATGAAAGACTTTCAGCATCTCAATGAAGCCAATAGGTGATGGAGGCAGGAGCAGGCTCATTTCTCCTCTCTCTAGTTGAATTACAATATGCTTTGCTCTGTGTTTCAAATACAATCCCTCTGGGTATTGTCCATTAACCTCCCAATGTGAGCTTGAAAAATTGTCTTATTTTCCTACTGGGTGCTGTGCCACTGAAGTGCTAGAAAAAGACTGTGCTGTAAGCAGAGCACCCCATCCATAGCCACATGCTCACCAATGTTTCCACACACAAAAAGAAAACTCGCTTATTTTTTAACAACTTTCCATTGTTTACAACAGCAAAAGTGACCTCTGGGTCAAAGACTTCCCAGTAGTTAATGACCAGCTGGCTTAAGGTTATATCCTCAGCTGCTCCAGAGGATTGTGAAGGACCTGATCTTCCAGGACCTCCTCTTTGAAGTCAGTAGGAGCTGTGCGCACCAACTGGTGGGAAATGCCCTCTCAGCCTGTCCTTATGATTAAATCTAACACTTTGGTTTGACAGCAGAGTTGGATGAGCCGTGAAGTGCGCAGTGCCTCCTCGACGGGGTTCTCAAAGGTCACTTCAAAGAGACCTAAATATGAACACCGGTAGGTTTGAAACAGTGAAACTGGGAAATGGCTGTTCTGTTCTACTCAGGGTCCTGAGCACGCCACACCAGGTGTCATTCTGTATGAGCCCATGTATTACAGGCTAATTAAGGAAACAAAGAAATACAAAAAATGGCATGGACCCCGCAAACAAATCAAAGGACAAAAATCGGACATTAGCTTTGCCGGCTTCCCACCAGTTTGGCGGCACAGCTCTTGTTGACTTCTGCACAGAGGTCCTGTGAGATCAGGTCCCTCACAATCAACTGGAACAGCTGAGGATATAACCGTAATCCAGCTGGTCACTAACTGCTGTGAAGTCTGTGACCCAGAGCTTGCTCTTGCTGTTAATAAATAGTGGAAAGATGTTAAAAAATAAGTGAGGGTTTGTTTTTGGTTTTTTGTGTGTGGAAACATTAGTAAGCACGTGGCTATGGATGGGATGCTCTGCTTACAGCATGACTCTTTTTCTAGCACTTCAGAATGGGGTAGTAGAAAAATAAGACCAGTTTTCAAGCTCATAGTGGGAGGTTAATGGACAAGACCCAGAGGGATTGTCCAGCACTGAGGCTGTCTCTTAACTGATGCTATTCAAAGCAGGTTTGATTCTGCCCCAGCTGAAAGGTTATCATAGGGAGGCCACTATCTGCACGTCTGGCCATGAATGTGAAAGCTCTGGAATTAGATGAAATAACCCTATGCGAGACTCATCACAGCTTGCTCTCTCAGTAACTGCCATGAAGCCTGGATGTCTATAACAAGCCCTTACCCGTATCATTCTGGTTCATTCAGCCTCCCAGGTTTATCGCCCAAGGGGTGGCTTTGAGGAATTATCTTCTTCAGATGACCTCATGCGTGAAACATGATACTAACTGACCACATACGATGTTGTGAAGGCTACTTGGAAAGGCCATTAATCTGTGTTTTGAAGTGTTTTGAAGATTTACAGTGGGATTTTCAAAAAGCACTTGGCACTGAGCTGATTTAGCTCTCCTAGAGTTTGGGCTGAATAGATTGTGGGTCTGGGGCCTTAGGTTGTTAGCTCTTTGGGACAGGAACTGTATTTTTGTGCATTGCACAGAACTGAGCACATTGCTTGGGCTTGTGAAATAGCAAGAGAATACTCTTGGCTGCCATGTTGATGAATATGCATCTAATCTGCAGCTTGCCTTTTAAAACGTACTTATTTAACAAGCAGCTTTATAATGAAATGCAACGGTGGGGTTGCAGAAAACGAGCGTTGAAGCAGTGTAGTACTATGCTCTGCTCAGTACGCATTGTATTTAACAGGGCATTTCTAAAACACCTTTCATCTGAAGATCTCTAGAGCCCCACAAACTTTAGATAAGTCCTTCTCCATTTTATGGAGAGACTAGAAAACAGAGATGTCATGAAAAACAGGGCCTGGAAAACAGAGTTCCAACCTGTCCTGCATATCATTCAATAATCCTCCAGACCCCTGCTTTCTGGTGGCCTTCTCCAGGGTTGGTATATGCAGCGAAGGCAGCAAACAGCTCTTTAAACGCACAGGAGAAGCACCAGGCTCCGGTTGGCTCTCAGTAGGGGCCGGGTGTCTCACTGCCCTGTGTGCTTCTGGAAATATCCTCTATAAGCAATAATTTTTGTGTCAAGAAGAGAATGTTTAAAACCATCCAAAGCCACAAGGGGATTTCGAATGTAAAACTCCAGGGCTCTGTATGTTCAGGCGTTTTCATCTATATTAGGAAAGATCCTGTCACTGAGGAGCTATCAGTCAAATGGCGCACGTAAATGCCTGTGCATTACCACCAGCTTCGTCTTGGGATGAAGTGTTGCCACGTGCTGAGAGACTGGGCTGTTTAATGTCCTTAGCTGTATACATCTGCTGACAGTTTGATTTGATCCGTCTTCCTTCCTCTGCCTGTCTTGCACAAGCGAACATGAGGCTTTGTCCCAGCTTCCCTCATAATTGTATCCCTTGAACGTGCTTATCCTTGCCAGGTGTCTACACATTCATAGATCTTAGGGCTAAATAAAACAATTGCGATCATCTCATCTGACCTCTTCTATAAGTCAGAGAATGACTTTTACCTGTAACTTATGTATGAAGCCTTTGTCTTGTTCTCTAGTATGGGGTTCTGTTTTGGGTTGCTTTCTTGGGAAGCACCCAGCCGTAATTTCAAAACTTTAGGAGGTGGAGTCCACCACTTCCCTTGACACCACTTGGAATGACTTAATCACTTTCACTATTTGACATTTGATCCTTATTCCTACCCTATCCAGCTGCACCTTCAGTTTAGCCTGGTTATGGCCAATGCTCTCTCCAAATCTTCCCCGCGTCGCTTTTGCCCTGGCTTCTTCCCTGTCCCTTCTCACCACCTTCCCAGTGGTAGCGTGCAAAAGCCACCTCCGCCGTAGTACCTGTCAGCAAGCACAGCCTTCCCACTTCCTCAGCAGCTGGTTTTTCACAACTCTGTCCCACCACACCTCTGCCTGTTGTCGGGATATTGTGCATGCCATCGTCTTCCCACTTGTACAGTTCTGGAGACCGGCCTGGGTGGAAGACCCTTACACCGCATAAGGTTGTGTGGTGTTGTGCTGGGCGGGGGATTGTATGTTAGGGGCAAGGTGAGAAACTCAGTGGAAAGGGCATGATGCCAGTGGAAATCAGCTGTCCTAAAAGCATAAGAATTGCTGTTTACTGGGACAGACCATAGGTCCCTCTTTGCTCAGTCTCCTGTGGCAGAGAGCGGGGGGCTGGAAGGGAGAACGACCTGGGTCTGACCAGGGTTTTTGCCCCCTGTTCCTCTCTCCCTTGCAGCCTCCAGCATTTCGGGTCTGATTCGGAGGTCGTGCCCCTCACTCTCATGCTCAATAGCGACCCCCAAATACGTGTCCGGTCCCTTTGTGAATGTGGTTGAACTCTCAGTTTCCACCACCTCTGGTGGCAACGACCTTTAATGACGCACTGGGGGAAAACAAACTTCCCTATGTTCATTTTAAACCGACGACCTGCTCGTTTTACCGTGCGACCCCTCCTTCTCATCTTGCGAGCGAGAGCCAGTAACAAATCCCCGTTGACTTCCTCTTCGCCATTTAGTATTGTGCAAACCCTCGTCACGTCCCCCCACGGCCTCTCCTTTCTGCACCGAGCAGCTCTGGCCTCATCGGGAAGCCCCTCCATACCGCTCATCATCCCCGTCGCCCTTCTCTGGGCCTTAAACAACCTGCTGTGAGGCTGGTAGAACAGGCTGGCGTCCAAAGCAATTCAGATGGGAGAAGAGTCTAAAGCAATTCAGATGGGAGAGGGGTCTAAAGCAATTCAGATGGGAGAGGGGTCTAAAACAATTCAGATGGGAGAGGGGTCTAAAGCAGTTCAGATGGGAGAGGGGTCTAAAGCAGTTCAGGTGGGAGAGGGGTCTAAAGCAGTTCAGGTGGGCGCGGGGTGCTGCTGGCCCCGCGGGCCGG